CCCTCCCCCACGGGGTGCAGGGGCCGCAGCAGGCGTCGCCGGTGCCCGGGCAGATCCCCATCCACAGAGCACAGGTGCCGCCCACCTTTCAGAACAATTACCACGGGTCAGGGTGGCACTAAAGCGGATCCCTTCAATCCTAAACATTTTTAAAATGTTGTGTAATATAAACTGTGTATATTTCGTATGTACCTGGTCAGGGTACTTTTTAAAGCTTGTACATGATACTTTGTATAAAAGCAAACACCAGTGCTCTCCCCTCGTACTCTTTCCATTTTTTTGCTTTTTAAAATTCCTGAAAACGTGCTGTTAAGCCAGTATTAGGCATTTCTTTTTGTTTCGTAAGTGAACATTCCAGCTGTTTTTTCTGGCAGTAGGTTTGATGCTGCAGAACCTTTAAAATTTTATTGTTGCAGTTAAATTCATTTAGTGAATGTTTTCTATATTACTTTTATACATATGTAATTAAATAAGTACGCAGGCTAAGTGATGGCACTAACAGTTTTGTTTTTTTTTTTTTTTTCTCTTCATTTCCTTCTGTCACCAGTTCCGTGTGTGCATAGAGATAGAGAACAACGCAATACAAACTTTTATAGTTTTGGTGTGGACATGGCTTTCTGTTTCATCAGTTACTTGCAGAAAATGTAATTTAATGTATAGACCGTTTCTAATGTCTCTGACGAGTGCTGTAAATACTGTATTTCTTTGGCCTGTAAAACCGCTCGAAGCTGCTTTCATTTGATATAGTACTGTACAGAATAAGTCTCTTTTGCAAAAAAAGGACGTGTGATCTTTGTGAAGGTAGTACCGTACATGATCTTCAATTTGGGTTTTTTTTTTTTTTGTTTTGTTTTTTTTTTTAATATACTGTCACATTGCAGCACTGGTTGGGCATTTTAATTCATGTTAATAAATCACAACTCTGTCAGTTTTAACTGCTTGTCCCAGAAGGGTGCTGTGTCCTCAGGGGGGTGCAACCCCCAGCCGCCGGGGCCCCTCTCGCTTTGCCCGGGGGCTCCCCCGGGCAGCAGTGGGGTTACAGGGGCTTCTGTGCGGGGGCAGCGGGGCGCCCTCCCCTCCTCCCGTGGGTCTTGAGGGCCTGGGGTGAGTGCAGCGGGGAGGCCGGGGCCTCCTCGGGCTTCCCAGAGTTTAAGGGTGTTTGTGCCCCCACGCCCCCCAGCGACCCCTGGCCAAAGGGGCGCTGAGCGAGCGGTGCCAAAATGGGGACGGGAGGGCGTGGGCGGCGCAGCAGGGTAGGTAACTCCTGGTTTAGTCGCGGCAGCAGTTTATTCCTGGCTGCAGGAGCTGCGGCACTTACCGGGTGCGGTCACTCCGTAACTGGTGCGTGAGCGTGGCCCTGCTCCGCGTCCTGCGCGTGCCGGCGCCCTGCTGGCAGGCTCTGCCTCGGGGCGTGCAAGGGAACCTGCAGTGGGACAGGACGGAACCGGCTGTTCCTACTCGCTGGAAGGAGGTGGCCATTCCGCGTCACGTGCAGAAAAAAATGGGGCTGCTTCAAATGGTAATTGGCCTGTAATTCCTGAAGCGGTTGTCTTGGTAAAACCAGCGCGCGAGCGAGGCCTCGCTGAGCCCCTGCTCCGGAACGCGCGGCCTTCGTGGCAGCTGCCCACCCCACGCTGCTGCTCGGGCACTGGCTTTGGGGGAAAAAAACCCCACAACTGTGTCTCTATAGCCTGACGTGCCGAACCTGGAGGTCCCGAGACTGCCACGCAGGTCACTGCATCATCTCAGAGTACGCAAGAGACACTGCGTGGCGAGGCCTCACAGCAGCACCAGCAGCAGGCGAGGCGGGG